TATATATATATATATATATATGTGTGTGTGTGTGTGTGTGTGTGTAATTGTCTAATAATAAATAGTTGATTAGAAATATGATTCAAAATTATAATATATGTATAGTTCTCTAGATATGTTATTTTTTTAATTGACAAATTTTCATTTTTATTCGCTTTGGAACTGATTTTTCTAGAATGACATAATAAGGGTATGTAGATAAGATTGAATAAAAGAATAATATCTTTGTTCTCTGATAAAATAAAAAATAGAATTTACCTGCAAAGTATAAACACAAACATGAGTTACACTCCGAAATTATTACAAATTGTCAAACTCGCCGCGAACGTCAACATCGTTGGCCATCACTCGGACGTGCAGAAAAAGAATAATAGTAGTATGCAATTTATTAATACTGCTAATATTTCCTTTTTAATTTTAATTTAATTTTAATTTACGCGTATTTATTATTATATTGATACCCGAGAGGTCTAACCAAAAACACTACCGTGTTTACATCAATCAATTTTATCGACCCAGCGGATAAATCAGGCCGATAAATCAGGGTCACTGCAGGATCCAGCGAACATTGATTCGCTAGATTCTACAATAACCCTGACTTCAGTCTGATAATCCGCTGGGTCGATAAGATTAATAATGACATCTCGTGACAGACGTTGCAGCTGTACAAAGGCGACGATAATGACGTTTCTTAAAGTAAAAATTTCCAAATCGGACTTTGTGTAGCAATATCTCTGCTTGTAGGGCACGTAGCAGAAAAATAAAAATACTGTTATTATGCAAGTCGGACTCAAGCTATCAATCAAGCCTACTTAGAACTTGATCAGTATAGCCGTTATTGAGATTCGATAATTTCAGATGCTCGAACCTCGACGACTCGCGTAAAGTCACACGGCAGTGTTCTCGGTTGACACCCGAGACACTACCATGTCTCCTGATAAACAAGAAAAAAAATTAAACTGTTATAAAAAATATATAAAATATAAATATTATAATAAATCTCGATAGCAAAATCTGCAGAAACAGATTTTGAACAGAGTCTGCTACCAATATTTGATGACAAAAAAGCAATAAAAGTCTGCATAAGTCTGTAATATCTGACGGTGTAAGCAAATTGTTCTCAAAAATATGACAAAGCAAATTGGCAGCAAAAACCGAGCAGTATTTGCTCTAACTTTCTTGTTGAACGATTACGTCTTACATCAAACATATACATAAAAATACATAGCATGTCAGCAGGCTCTGCTCGGTTTCTGTCACCAATCTGTTCGCATAGCATGTCAGCAGATTCTACTTAGTTTTTGTGGCCAATCTGTTCGCATAGCATGTCAACAAGCTCTGCTCGGTTTCTTTCGCCAATCAGCATAGGATGTCAGCAGGCTTTGTTGACAAATCCCTAATGTGGACACAGATAGCTATGGATTTGCAGTTAATATCTGATCGAATTTGTTGCCAATCTAACAAATTGCTAGCATTTTGTTTGCTGGGGAATGTATCATAAAAATTAATTATTAATCTTTAATACTGTATTCAATGTTTACTGCAAGTTACATAAATTTTGTAGAAAATTGGTTGCTGCATGCCTAATTGTTTTAACTCTATTAAAAATAAGGTTTTTAGTAGTAAAATTATAGCTAGGTATGCTATTATTAATTAATATTTACTTTTTAAATATGTAACGGAGCGCATCCCCCCGTCCGTTCCTCCTCCGATTTTCCCTCGATCGACCATCCGTCGGGGACCGGGTACCGCCGAACAACAGGCGGAGTGCGGCAATGGCCGCAAGAGACATTTATGCCTCCTTTTTTAATTGTTACAATACGCGAACTCCGAAGCGTCAGAGAATACCACGAAAATATGTCTATTTCGTGATATTTCCTCGCACCACGCCACCAAGTGCTAGCGCGCCTCGCGCCGCACCACACGTCGTGCCACCGAGCATAAATGCGTCCCGCGCCGCACCGACGCCGCGCCACGCAAGCGAGTGAGCATTCCGCACCGCGCCATGACCGCGTCTACAAGCGCGTGACCACCCCGCACCGCGCCGTTACCTTCCCACCTCCTATTCCTTCCCTACTCTTAAACATCCCCTGCTCCTATTCCTTATAATCCCCAAAAAACCAATTATACCCGATCCTTTTTTCCGCTCCTGAGGAGAGGGATGCTAACCCCGAGATCGACTAATCCGACCGATCCGACCGAAAAATATCGAGGGCGATCTCAGGTATAAAAAGGCATCGCTCTCCACAGGAAATCACTCCTTGTTGACTCCTGTTCCTCGCTCGTTTTTCCGAGAGCACGTCTCAAGGAAGCGAGCATCCGAAGCCGGTAGAAAGCCTGAGTTTTGTTGGGGCCCTCCCCAAAGCGCCAAGTTCGCTTGGCCTGGCCGAACGCCGTAATTCCAAATCTCTCACGGCAAGCCGAGAGCTGCTGGGGCCTCCTCAGCGCGTCGAGTTCGCTCGATCCGACTCCGCCGTTCCCGAGATTTCTCCGCCGGGCATCGGGGTTCTCCCCCCGATACCACCGTTCTTCTCCGAGCACCGGGGTACGCCCTGGTCGGCCGAGTTCACTCGGCACTCACTAAGACAGATGAGGGGTACACCCCCCCTCCCGTCAGCCGAGCCCTCTCGGCAGGGAACGGGCCCACCTGTTCTCTGATCTAAACAATCCAACGATCTCGCGAATATCTCACCCTCACGACAACGCCCGCAACACGCGTGCACGTTTTAAATCACCGCTGATTTAAAGGTCCGCGACGAACACGTGTGACACCGCCGCCGCCGCGCGCACTCCGAACTTCGCACAGCGACCAGTATTGCGCCGACCGCTAGAGCGATACCTCATTTGTATCCAAACAATATACGCGCGCCGATCGCCGTCTCGCCCGTCCACGGTCACGATCATTCGCGAAGATCGGTGTATTCCATCGCACTACGGTTATTTGAATAAATCATTGTTATTTCTTATAATTATCACCTAACAACTTGATAACCAAATTTCTGTCTCCAACATCCTCGCTTCCTCCTCCTCGTAACCGACTTTCCGCGCGGGAAAGCCATTTTAAATAGACTTATACTTTATTTTTATATATAAATAAAACGGATCATACGTTCCAATAGAAATTGAGCCGATTATTTGAATGATAAGTAAAGAGACAATTTTATACATAAATTTACATTCGAATAATTAAAATGTAATAAAACTTTTTTATTGTATAAAAGATAATATTTTATTGACATTAAATTTAATTAATATAAATAATGGATATTCTAAAAAATATTTAATCTATGAATTTTACTTAAAAGTTAGATATTAATTTTTGTGAATTATATTTTATTATTCTTATTTTTTCTTATTTTTTATTTTTTTTCTTATTTTTTTTATTTTATCTTATTTTTATTTTAATTATATCTTATTCTTATTTCACTTGAATCAATTATTTATCTCTAACCCTTTTCATTTCTTATTGTAATAAAATTCATTTTGGTGTTCGTTTACGCAATACTGCAAGCAGAGCATCCAAAGCAGGACTTCCGAGATAGCTGCACAGATGAGATACATTCCTGCGTAAACGAACGACGAACTGTGCTGCAGTCATTTTCGCAGACAGAATGAACGATCTGCGGTAGTGACTGCAAACGAATGCACCCATAGCATGGAAGACAACTCTATCCAGACACTTACTATAGGAACTCTATATCGTTTTCATATCTGGAGTAAAACCTATGATCATACCCGCATGAGAGAAATAAATACGTACCTATTTCTCGTTTTCGTTCCTATAGCACAGTGTATACTGACTACGATCCATTTAGCGTTACAAAGCTTCGAAGCATTTGATTAACCAATCAAAACAAAGAATTATATAAATTGACCAATCAAAAAAATGCTTCGAAGCATTTATAACACCAAGTGGACTGCACCCACAGTAGCGCACACTCCCGATCTTAGCGTATATAAAAATGAACTGCACGTGCGCGAGCGAAATATGTAATCAATCAGGACGGCTATTCTGTTTCATTTTTCCTCTATAATTTCTCCGTTTATTAACATGAGATGTCTATATAAGCATTTAACATTCAACAGAAAGTGGCGGGAACATATATCTCGTAGGTGTTATAAAAAATTAAAATTTTAACTTTAATTGTTAAATTTCTTTCTTAACTGCTCTTTCCTTGATTTGTAACAATTAATA